TATAAATACCTAATTAATATAAATATTATATAATTAAATATAGAGAAATAAGTTAAGTATAAATAAGATAAAAAATAAATATTATAAGAAAAGAAATTATATATAAAAGGCTATAGCTTTTAGTATATAACTAAAACCTTAGAAATAATATAAATATATAAAGTATTTAGGAAATCTAATACTAGATTAGATTAGCGAATTTATATATAATTAAAGAAAATATTATTTTTTGCGTTTTTAGAAAGTTTCTAGTATTAGTATAACTATTTCTTTAGGAATTATATATATAATTATAAAATATAAGATATAAGATATAAATATAATTATATAATCTCGTATCTTATTAATAACTTGACTAATAAACTAGATTTCTTTAGGCTTAATAAATTTAAGAATTATATATTAATATTATAATATTATAATTCTTATTTCTAAATAATAATAATTTTACTAACTAATATAATTAGTATTTTTATACTTATATAATAATACTATATATTACTAGTAAACTAATAGAAAATAAGCTATATATATTAATAATTTAATTATATTATTAGTATTTTTTAATAATAACTAGAAAAATAATCTAATAAATAATATTAAAAAAATATTAATTAATAAAATTCTATTATAAATTATTTCTAGAAATCTAATTCTTTTAAATTAATTAAAAGAAATTATATAAGATTATAGAAAAAAAGCTTTTATAATTTTATTAAAATATAATACCTAAATAAAAATCAAAAAAGTAAAAAGAAGTTTTTAATAAAAAGTAAATATTAGATCTAGTTATTTTTATTTTTATAGCTTTTAATTATATAACTAAAAGAAAAAATATTATTATTAATTAAATCTTTATTTATAAAAAGTAATAAAAAGTTTAAAGCTTAAAAAAAAAAGTTATTTTTGGCCTAAAAAATTAATAATTAGAAAACATAAAGCTTTAATAATTCTAAAAAATATTATTTCTATAATTTAAAAAATATTTTTTTTTTTTTAAAAAGAAATCTAATATTCTTTTTTCCTATAAATTATATAATTATAAGATTTAAATTAAAGACCTAAAGAAAACCAAAAATATTAAATACTAATTATTTTAGTAATAGTTTATTTAAGACTTTCTAGAAATTAAATATTTTTTTAGAAAATAATTTAGTTAAAAGCTTTATTAAAATTAGTTAAATTTCTTTAATTTTATTAGTTTTATTTATAAAAAAAAGTAAATAGAAATTTTTACTTTTATATTAATTTCTATTATTTAAAAAAATTAATATTTTCTTTTATTTATTAAGAAAACTTTAAATTAATTATTTAAAGCTAAAACCTATATTAAATTAGATATTTATTAAATTTTCTATTATATAATTATAGATTTAGACTTTTAAAAGCTAATAATATTTCATATTTATTATAAAATATATAAATATAATATTTTTAGAAAGGCTTTATAAATAATTTAGTTATATATTAATAATTTATAAATAATATATTTTAATAATATTTAAATAACTTTTATATAATATATTTTAATAATATTTTTATTTATTTAAAGAATCTAATAAAATATAAATAATATATATAGAAAATACTAAACTATTTATATTTTATTAGCTTTTAAATAAATATTAGAAAATTGAAATTTAAAATTATATATATAAAATATTTAGGCTTTATTATTTTTATATTAAATATTAAAATAGATTTTAATAAAATTAAAATAATATATAACTAGTAAATTCTATAAATAATTAATAATAAATAATTCTTTTTTAAATATTTTATTAAAAAATATAAATAAATTATTAGGTTTTTAATTTTATTTATAAAAAGAATATTTTTTTTTAAATAATTTAAATAATATTAAAAGGCTTTTAATTATTTATAAAAAAAGAGCTATAATTTCTATTTTAGTTCTATAATATTATAATTTAGATCTATTTATAATAATAGAAATAAATATATTTAAAAAATATAATTATTAGCTTATTTTTTAATAGAATTCAGAAATAGGCCTTTAATATTTTATAGTTTATTTTTCTAAAACCGTATTTCTAATAAAGCTTAATTATAATATATATAATAAATAAATATTTATTATAATATATATAATAAGAATATTAAAGAAATAAAAAACCAAACTAAAAAACTTTTAAAATATTTCTTTTAAAGTTTATTTTAATTATTATATTTTAGAATATTTTATAATTACTAAAAACTTCTTTTTTAATAAGCTAAATAAACTAGACTTTTACTTTATTATTATTTTAAGTTTATATATTATTTTCGAAAATTAAATAAATAAATAAATATTTTATTATAAAAATAAAATAAAATAGATATTTAGAATTAGATTAAAAAAAAGCTCTAAATTTAAATATTTTTTTTTAAAAATAAAATTAATCCGGAAATTATTTATAATTTATAGCTTATAATAATATTTTATAAAATTAATTTATTTAATTCGGAATTCGGTTTTAAAAACTTTTCTAAAAAAATATATTTTTATTAAAAATATATTTTTATTAAAAATATAATTTTTTTAGAAAAAGATATTTTTTAAAAAGCTTTATTAATAGTTTCTATTATAATTATTTTTATAAAAGTATTATTAGAAGCTTTTATTAAATATAATAGCTTATAATTAATAAATAGAATTTTATAAAATAATTATATATTATTAAATTTAGAAAAGTTATATATAATAGCCTAAATTAAAAAATAGCTTCTTTTTATATTATAAAAAACTTTATATTATAAAAAATAAAATTATTCTCGAATTACTTTTATATATTATTCTAATTTATAAAATATATAATAAATTTCTTTTTAAATATTCTAAATATATAAAACTTTATTAATTATTTAAAAAATAATATTATTAGCTATTTAGAAATAAAAATATTAATTAATATTATAATAACTATTATATTTATAAAAAATTATATATATATTTAAAAATAAAAAACCTAGTTTATTTTATTTCTTTTTAGTTTCTAATTATTTATAATAATATATTATTATAAATTTTAAGAATTATTTAGAAAATAAAATAGATTATAATATAATTATTATATTTATAAATTACTTATTTAAATATCTAATTATAATTCTTATATAAAATATAATTATAGCTAAATAACTAATATTTTTATTTTTATTTTATATAATATATTAAATAAATATTTTAGAAATAATTATATTAGATTAAGAATTTTAATTTATATCTAATTTTTAAACCTAATTCTATATAAGAATTAATATAAAATTTAAGTTTTTAATAGCTAATTATTTTTAAATAAATAAATAAATAGAAATTATTAATTAATATTTTAATTAATTATTATATTTATATATTAATTATTATTAAAATAATTAGAATAAATAAATTATTATAATTAATTATTAATAGGCCTTTCTTTAATATAAAACTATTAGCTAGTTTTTATTTATAATTAAAAAAAGTTATAAGTTTTATATTTTTCTAAACTAGAACTTTTTTATTAAAGCTAGTTTATTTAAAAAAAAATAAAAAAATAAAAACTAAATAAAATAAAACTAAAGTATTAGTAAATTAATTATATAAATTATAGTAATTTATCTAAAATTATATAAAATAAATATAGAAATAATATATAATATAAGCTAATAAATATTATTATTTAATTAATTTTAAAATCGGAAATAAAATATAAATTATTATAAAATACTAGAAATTTAATTATTTAAGCCAAAAGCTAGAAAACTAAATAAAAGACTTATTTAAGATTCTAGAATAATATAGTTATTTATTTCTTTTAAAATTACCGGAAATTATAAAAATATATTTAGTTTTTTATATAAAGAAATTATAAGAAAACTCTTAAAATTCCTTATTAAATTAAATAAATCCGGTATTACTTTTATTAGTATTAGAAAATAATAAATAAAAATATAGTATTAAATAAATTATTATAATTAAGCTAATAAGAATAAACTAAAATATAGAATCTAATATATTAATTAAAATAAAAATCTAATATAATATTTAGCTTTAATATTAAATAATAGCTTTCTAGTTTTATAAAGCTTTTATAATAATAATATTAATATATTAGAATCTTTTTAAAACTTATAATATTAGCTAAATTATATAAAAAATTATATTTATCTAAAATTAAATAAAAATAATAATAAATTCTTTTAAATTATATATTAAAAATATTTGTTTTTTTTTTATATAATATTTATATTCGAGATATTAGTTTATTTTAGAAAAAAAAAATATAAAATTAGATAAATTAATAGCTTTTATAAAGCTCGGAAATAAGTTTATTCTAAAAAGAAAAATAATATTATAATTTCCAAATATCTAATACCCAAAATATCTAGTTAAATATCTAAAGATTTTTTAGATACATATAATATAATTACTTTATTAAGGAAATATATTTGAAATATACTAGAAATATTTAGAAAACTAAGCTTTTTCGGAACTAATATATTATAAAATATATATATTTCTTTATAATTTCTTATATTCTAGTTTTCTTTTTTTTTAGCTTTAAATTATTATTATAAAAAACCTTTTATTTTACTTTCTAAGCCCTAAATACTATATCTATAATAATTAAAATTATATAAATTCCTATTTAAAATATTTAAATAGTTTTTTTTATTTATTACTTTTATAAATTTATATAAATAAAAAGTTTAGAAAGTTAGTATATTATTTAAAAGAATTATAAGGGATTGCTTTTTTTAAAAAAATAAAAAATAAGCAAAGGCACTTATAAACCTCTCTTATAATGAAAGTATATGCCAAAAGGCAATTTCAGGTCACGTGATTCTTATACACGTGACTACCCACCACATATTTACGGATTCGTAGTGCGGGCTGTCCATGCAATACCTCACCCTCTTCCGGATCTTAGTATATAACTTTCCAATCAGACTTTGTGCAACATGTCCGGGAAGAGCTGCCGGAAAATATAGAGAGTAAGATTGAGCTAAGGAAAGAGGGAGGAAGAAGCGCGAGTATATTGTTATAGAGGGTGGGTGTATGGGTTTGGCGCTGGTTTGTCGCTCACAACACGCCAGGTTCCCTATTTTTGATTATCCATTCGCTTGTGGGGCTTTGTTGGACTGAAGGAAGCGAGAGGGGAGGAGCAGACCTCTGCTATGTATACTTTCTACCAGCCTGAACAAATCAGATCTCGAAGCCGCGCGATCGATTCTCCCACTACACAGCTATGGATTCTGAGTCTAGGTGTTCCTCTAACGTACCAGAATTTGGCGAATCTGTTCTATCTTAACCCGACAAGATGACCTCGGTCTACCACGCAGCAACCTCTCCAGGCTTCGGCTTCTGTACCCGGACGATCTTGTCGCAATTCAGCAAACAAAGAGGATCAAATGCCAACTTGAGCTACTTGCCGTCAGCACAAATGCAACAAGACGATTTGAGTTCGAACTCACCTTTCTCATCGCATCAACCGTCGTCTCCCCCAACTCATGATTCAAATAATCTCTCTTGACCAATCCTACACCGTGTTCACCAGTAACAGTGCCTTCCATCTCAATTGCTCTCTTGACCATCCTGTGGACAGCCTCCTCCGCTTCTTTTCGTTTCTTATCATTGTAAAGCATAATAGCTGCAAATGTTAAGACCACTCTTGGACCCAGACACCTGACACTTACTGTGAAAATTTCCATCTCCAACATGCCCCACAATAGCAGTAAACAATCCACACTTGGCCAGATCCTCTTTCGTCTCCTCAATAATATCTGGCAGCCTACTGATAGGAACAGCAACATCGCCCGTCCACACATGATCACTATCACTCTCTCTCATCGCCATCACGCTCCACAGCGCTTCCTTCCTTGCGCTCCAAAGATCCGCCTGCTCCCGTGCATTCCGCGCAAACTCGAAGCTTTTGCTGCCTGTACTCTTCGCCAACTTCTGCACCATGCCAATCTGCTCCTTGACCGCGTTCGGTGTGCCCGCGAACTTAAAGAAGAGGGTTGGCGCTTCGGCCCAGCTCTTGTCCGTCATTTCCGCTGCGTTGATACACTTCATCTGCACATCGTCCAATATCTCAATCGCTGCGATGGGGACACCTTCTCCAACGACCTTGGCCACACAATCCGCAGCTTGTCTTACGGTGCCGAAACTGCAAACCGCTACACTCGTCGTGTTCGGTTTCGTCGTAACCTTCAGCGTAGCCTCCGTGATCAACCCAAGGGTGCCTTCGCTCCCAATAAACATCTTCGTCAAATCATACCCAGCGCTACTTTTCCGGGGTCGCTGCCTGGTCTTAATGATCGTCCCATCCGCAAGTACCACTGTCAGACTTAGAACCCACTCCCGCATAGTTCCATATCTGTATGCATTCGTGCCACTGCATCCTGTTCCCACCATACCTCCAATCATAGCACCTGGTCCAGGATCTGGAGGAAAGAAAAGATTCTCTTTCGCCAGCTCTTCGTTTAGTAGTTCCCAGCCTACGGCTGGTTGGACCACCACATCCATATCTTCCTTGTGCACTTGCAGAATCTCTCCCATGCGCCCAAAATCAACACATATGCCTCCCCTCGTAGGCGCGAAGTGACCCTCTAGAGATGTACCCCCACTGTACCCTGTAACAGGAATCCTTCTCTTATGGCAAATCTTCATTATCTTCGAAACCTCTTCCGTAGAAGCAGGGTATACGACGAGGAACAGATGCTCGGAGTCTTCCGTCCGGTGGGAGCTCCAATCGCTGCCGGTGTGATACGTGAGATCCGTGTCTTTAGTCGAGACATTCTCCTTCCCTACAATCTGAACAAAGTCCGCCCATGCAGCTTCCATGTTCGAGCCTGATACATCGTGCTTCGGGGGTATGGTTGCGGAGAGAGGGAGCGTGGAGAGGTTTGAGGGCGCGCGGGTGGCGAAGGTTCCGAGGTAGTAGCCGCTGCAGGCTGTTGCGATGATTACTGCAGATGATAGAGGTTAGCAATTGGATATTTGCTGACAAAGAAGTGATGTTGCAGAGTGTACCAAATGTCAATGCTATGTTCCGCGCGCCAGATGGCTCTTTTCTGTCTCGAGAGAAGCGTGCTCGTTCTACTCGCTCACGGGCTAATCGCGCAGCAGTGCTCTCGTAAAGCTGCCCTTTGAATGACCTGCCTTCGCCAGCTGGCTTATTTTCTGTAGATTCGTGTCGTATTTGTCGTGAGGCTATACTTCGGAGACATGGCGAGGGTGCTGGGATGGGAGATCTGCAGATGTGGGAGAGGAGAGCACGAGACGGAGCTCTTTTCGGGAATGACATCGCGGACGAGAGTATGAATTGAGCTCTAATGAGGTTACATGAGGCTTCTTGACGTGAGGGTGCTAAGCAAAGAACGCAGGAATGTCGTTGGAGGCTGCGTTGCTGGTCTGTAGTTGTTATTGGCAGCTCGAATTGTGTTGTGAGGTTGAGGTTGCGGTTGCGGCCCAGAGCTTCCCCACACAGCACGCCATTTCTGGGCGGCGATTGGACATAATGGGCAATGATCAGCGTTTTGAATGAAGCAAAAGCATCAGATCAAATTGTCGCTTTGGTTCAGGAGCAATCATTTCATTATTTTCATGAAGAATTGTTAGCAATGGGCACAGAGCCATAGCAATGGAGCTTTTTGCCACGTTATGAATAGCAAGTTAACGGATCCACCAATTTACTCCAGCAACACCTTCAATGCACAATAAATTGACTCGAACAATCATTTCCCACCTGACTCCAGTAATCAACTAATTCTTCAACAAACATATCACCCTCAATTAGGCTTCCATGCGGATACCAATTGCACCGAAAACGTCGGCTTCACACCATTAATTGCACTCAAGTAGGCTTCTAGCTCCTCATCCTGATCAATGGGGAGAAACATTTCAGCACCATTTGGCGGCTTGATGACACCTTCAACACGGAGAGCAATGGTTCCAGGGAATTTGACACATGCAAGCTGGCGAACTTCGTTGAGGGAGACTGAGCTCAAGGTGCTGACCCAAAGTCTCGCTTGGGATTGGACCTCGGATGCTGGATGAAGACGGAAGTAAACAGCCATGGACGACGGAGAGGGAGGGAATGCAGCTTGGGCGGCTTGGGCGGCATATTGTTGGTCTGCGTAATGCTGCTCTGGGTATGAATTCTGCATTCCCCGTGTCATGAGAGATGGATCATTAGCAGCGGCAAGCAGGAGCGAAGGATCAATCTGCATGTTGTTATGATCGAGCATGACTTGGTTCTGAGATTGGACCTGTTGCTGAACCTGAACCTGAGCTTGTCTAGCCTGGGCTTGAGAGCGATTTTGAGTTCGAGGTTGTTGGCCACGAGTTTGCTGAACTTGGGACTGCAGTTGGTTTTGGGCTTGAGCCAGAGCTGCCGCGCGGATTAGGGCCTCATCTGGTTGGGGGGCTGGTTGGAAGGCAGTGGGAGCTTCGAAGGGATTAATAGTTGGATCTGGAGCCGTGAAGTTGGAGTCAAATTTCTTCTTTCTCGTTGGATCACGCTTTGTCTGGTCGTCCCTCAATCGCTTCATCACATCTCTGCAAAGAACCTCCATAGCCTTGACCTTTTCTGCATGTTGAGGATCGGCATCTCCAGGTGCGAGAATGCTTTGCAGGAGGTCGGAGCTGTTGATCCATTGCGCCTTGAGCTCCTTCCAGTGTTCCTCGCCAGCCTCCAACTTGCTTGTGAAATGGTCACCCTTCAGGACTTGGTAGAAAGCGTTGCGAAGTTGTCGAGACTCTTCTGGATTGACTCCGAGAGCGTTCTTAGCTTCAGCAATTGTCATTCGTCGTTCCAAGGTACGCATCCGTTTCGTAACATCGCTGCAGACAACGTCAAGTGCCAACTTCTTTGCTTCTTGATTATCCTCATTCGCCCAGAATACCGATTGAAGATGCGGACTCTCTTGTACCAACCTATCCTTCGCTGCCTCCCATCGCTCAGGGCCCGCGATTGTCTTCTTGATGATGTCGGCCTCCTCGCAGATTCGTTGAAAGCGTCCGCGAATGTCTCGGTACAGGCGGTTATCGAGGCTCAAGTACGCCTTGCTCTCATCGATCGTCGTCTCCGAAGGGAATCGAGGCGGTCCTGGAGGATCAGCTGGCAGGCCTGCCCAGCCACGAGTTCGACGGCGGCGCTTGCGCGTTGCCCAGCGTTCAGCAGATTCGGCTTCGAGTTTGGCCAGGCGCTCTTGTCTCTTCTTCATGACTTCAGGACTGAGGGGAGGGGACTCAGCTCTGGTTTGGCGCGACGAGGTAGCTGGCATCGACATATCCTCCATGGGTTCATCCTCCGCCTCTGCATCTGCCATTTGTCCATCGGGGTAGAGAGCTTGTTGGAGTTGGTTGATGACATCTTGATCGGAGTCGCGCTTCTTGCTCTTCATGCCATTCGGAACTCGTAGAAGCCATCGATTCTTTGCTCGAACGCGCATGAGCTCGCGCTCCTTGATGTCGAATCCTTCTTCATTGAGAGTACGAAGCATCTCCCGCTGGGAGGTGTTGCAGTCCCATAGCTCCTTGACCCGCTGCACGAGGGCGGCATTCTTGTGCGCAGGATTCTGTTTGGAAGGGAAGTCCCATCGCTTGAACTGGGTCTGGAACGCACGTTTGCTTTGGAGTGTTAATACGGACGACGATATAGTCTTGTACGGGGAGGTACGTCGAGCTGCATCTACTGACCTGGGAGCGAACTTGTGGTGTTCCTTCATGAAGTCCATAATCTCCTCGAGCGACTTCTTCTCCTCGATGTACATGCGATAGCAGATGTCCTCCTTGTTCTCCCAGTCGTACACCATTTTCACGATTGGCGCCTCGGCGGCGATTGCACCAGCTAGGTTTTGATGATTGTTTTGGATGCCCTGGTTGATGTGGTACACTCAGGTGAACGAAGTTGCGGCGTCGAGCTGACCTGACTGCCGTTGGGGATTTTGCTGGGAGGCTTAGTCAGCTACATGTGACTCGCCACCTGAACACTACTCCGTAAGGTGACTGTATCTTTGGATGTCCCAAGTCATGTTGGTCATTTCAAACGCTGCTGCTCCGAAGTTTCTCACACCTTACTGTACATTTACATTTTCACATCTACGGTGGTCCCTGGAGCTCTGGAAGAATTAGAAGCCGTTTCTCTTGGAGAGTCCCAACCAATTCACTCAAGTCTGCCGCTTTCGAGTCCGTAGAGAGCATCGAAAAAGCGGCACCCCGTTTCTGTGTGCCTTTCTCGGGCTGAACATTTCAAGTGCATCTCTTCCCAATATCCCCGAATTGTCTTACATTCAGTCCCTCTTGTGTTTGGGGTATCCCGGAGGCTTGAGAGCCTCGATCTTTGCCCTGTCGAGTCAATGTTCAACTTTGATTTGGGACACTGTAAATTTTAGGGCTGTCAACTTGAGCCTCGAGACTCGCGAGCAACATCAAGTCAGACAGACGACTAAGACGGTCTTCCAACTTGTCTAGGGACAACAGGCCCGCTGCATTTCACGTAAGCACGTGGAACATTGAAGACAAGGTTGACTGGTAGACTCCAGTGCCGAATCTATGGGGTCTGCTCGGAACAATCTGCCCCTCGGAGTGCCGAAGTCGACTCCAGATTTGCCGATGTAGTCCCTCGTCTCGTCCAATTCTGCTCTTGCTTCGCTTCTAGGACTTCAATAATCCTTCTGTTCGTGTACATTCTGCTCTTGCAACGAAAGCGCGCTGGCAACCTAGTTCCCAAATTGCAGATCACATGACTGCGTAATATGGGCCAGTTTCTACAGATATTTCCTGTGAGTTCTTTATAGGATGATACCGACCACAGAAGCCACTGTCATGTGCTCCTCTGTTCCATCGTTTAGTTGATTATGGTTCCAGTTGGAGATGAAAAGGACCAAAAGCCTCGGCCCACGAGGCAGTCCTCGATCACAACAGACGAAAGTCTGGGACGGAGACAAGTGCGCACCCCTCGAGCAGCGCAATATCCCGAGCCCATACTCCAGAAAGACGCTTCAGCTCCCCGTCTCTCTTGCTTGCATATCCGAGCCTGTACAGCAGTACTGCGTGCGAACTTAGAGCCATTGCCAAGAAGCATCTCGGAGTCTTGCCAAAAGCGGCCGTCTCCTCGACTCCCCGCCTTGCCCCAACCTTGTCATGCAACCTCGTGACCATGTGTTATGATTTGCACCACTGCGCGCACCGCCAGCTTAATTTAACCTCAAACCTTGGCGATGCTTTGTGCTCCCTGGAATCTTTCTTCGTTCATGGACCTCACCGTTGAGGAATGGGGTTACAGCTGCAATCGCATCGTTGCAACAACATAGCCATGCACAGACCCGTGATTCTGCCCTGCGTGTAAGGACAGTTCTAATGCGCACCATGTAAGTGTCATTGCCGCTGTTCATGCCACACCTTAACGAGCCTATTCCCGAGTTCAGCTCTTCATCTCGAGTTTTGCTGACAAGGCCTGGAAGATCACAGCGCCTAATGAATGCAATCGCAGGCCCTACATAACCCTCCTTCGTTGCACTGCCTCTTCCCCTATTTCTCCTACTTAATTCTTCCCCTCTTTGATAAGACACTGGTACAAGATACCATCTATCACTATGTCGTCAAACAAACTAGATGAAACAGTTAAAATTACACCAGCGGGCTCAACAGATAGCCTCGATGATGATTATGAGCTCTACAAAAGCATGAAAGGGGTCGAATCAGACCTGCTCGAAGCCAAGAAAGTCTTGAGAAAGGTGGATATTCGAATCTTCTCCATGCTAATGGTCACATACTTCTCGCAATACCTTGACAAGAATTCTATCGGTCTTGCCAGGGTTTATGGTCTTAAAATATACCCATCATGAAAGCCAAGATTATTCTTGGCTCTGTATGTCCAATAAAACATCTCAGAGAATGTATGTCCTGATATTCGATCACAGCTACAACGTTCTACCTTGGTTATCTGGTTTTCAGTTCCCTTTCGGTTACCTTGTTCAACGCCTTCCAACCGGTCGTTTGCTCTCGGTCACAATAATCTGCTGGGGAGCTGTTCTTCTAAGCAGCCCTGCCTGTACCTCATTCGCTAGGATGGCAACAAATCGGTTTATTCTCAGATCCTTGGAAAGTGCCATCAATCCTGCATTGGTTCTGCTGATATCTATGTGGTACACAATAGGATATTAGCCTCTGCGACTTGAGGCATGCTACAGCTCAATAGGTATTGTGACAGTGTCTAGTGGGCTCATTGGGTACGTGATCGCTTCTTGCACGTGGATGTCTCCATACTGGTTGTGTCCTCAGGGTGTTCCCATACCCTGTGAATGTTAAAATGGTAATGGCTGGAAGGAGAACCACAGCATGTAAAATTTAACAACTCTCCTATTTCGACCACTGGAAGCCGTGGATCTGCGAGTGCAGAGGTTATAACTTAACCTTTTCTATTGCTTCCTCGAATTTCAGTGTTTACGGATCCAATCGGGACACGGTCTTGCCATTTCGATGCTGCTTTTGAGTCGCGTTTTTCGCAGCCCCAAAGTTCCACATCCCACCTTCCCACTTTTACATCACGACACAACTACGTCATATCTCCACGTCCAATGCTCCAGCAGCATATTAACTATGTTTCAAAAGGCCAAATTGCTAACAGCGCTCCACTGCAATTCCTGGACTCGCTCGATCATGGCTCCTACACTGGATATCGAGATCCAAAATCGGACGCAGTCCAACCAGGTCATTGCCTATGTCACGGGCCGGGCACTCGAACACGGCAACCACGTTTGCTTCATCCAAGCCGACGGGAAGACGCCATACTTCCCCGAATCTCCATCACAGATCTGTTCTCCAGTTCCCAAAGACTGTGCGATCAAGCTGGGTGCGCCTGGGACATCAACCACAGTCACCATCCCTCAACTTGCCGGAGGACGGATATGGTTCTCAATCGACAAGGAATTGACATTCTTCCTCAATCCAGGTCCTGCAATTGTCGAACCATCTATTAGCAACGCATCTGATCCAAATATCAACGTCCTCTGGGACTTCTGCGAGTTCACATTTGCGAACAACCAGATCTACGCGAACATCAGCTACGTCGATTTTGTCAGCTTGTCAGTTGCCTTGACTCTCATCCCACAAGATGGCACTCCCCAGAAAGTCCTCGGTCTCAGAGCTAACGGATTCGCTCATATTTGTACCGGATTAGAGGACCAAAGTCTTATAGATGCTAATAATTGGCACAAGCTGGTTTTCGAATCAAATAGGGAAAAGCTGCGCTGTTTAAGTCCCAATAACGCCATTGTGATAAGTGGTGGAAATCTGTTTAAGGGTTACTATGACCCTTACGTGTACGAAGTATGGGGGAAGTACAACAGAACTCACCTGGAGGTAGACACACAAGCACAATGGTCGAAACTTATGGCCAAAGTTGCCAGTAACAAGCTTGAATTCCCTGACATTGGAAGTTTCGCCAAGCCACCGACGCAAGATATCTTCAGCTGCAGTACAGGCCCGTTCGTCAGCAATGTTGGAGCATTGGGTCCATTGACCGCTCGAATCAGTGCTGCCTTGAATCGGCCAACGCTCCACAATGAGTATGTCCATCCCAATGATGAGAAAGTTTCAGATTATTACAAACACCCAATCACGAATCACTATGCTCGGTTAGTTCATGAAGCGAATCTTGATGGGAGGGGGTACGCATTTCCGTATGATGATGTATCGGGGGGGGAAGGATGTTGATCAATCTGGCTTTGTGAATGGGAACCCCAAAGCATTTATTGTGGCAATAGGATGAGCCCACTCACCTGAGTTCTAGTGACGGAAGAGAGCAGAATTTTCTACTGGCCTCGGGCTACTCTGCCACACCTCCATATACGGAGGAGACCAAGTGATTATACTCCCCAAATTCGATTTCATACAGTTTCTGAAAGTGATTGAGCGGTTCAAGATTTATGAACCCTTCTTTGTCTCTCCAATTGTGCTCTCGATGACGAAGAATCTGCGTGTGCTGCGAAAGTACGATCTCAGCAGTGTCAAGTTTTTCTACATTGGAGCGGCGCCTTCAGGCCAGGAGTTGGTGGTGGATCTGCAATTAGTATACCCGGCTTGAGAGATGCGTTAAGCGAATGGTTTGGCAGAGAGCGCCACTGTTGTATCTTCGATATCGCATGCTGATAGCTGGTACGGTAGCTCTGGATCACTTCTCCCAGGAGCAGAAGTCAGGATAGTGGCAGCAGATGGGAAAAACATCGATGACCACAACGTGCCTGGAGAACTTTGGTAACAAAAAAGCAACCGGTGAAACATTCGTTGAAGATGAGAGCGGGAGGTGGCTTAAGACTGGCGATGACGGCGACATTCGAGAATCTCCCGAGAGCGGAAGTGAATACGTTGGGATCGTAGACCAAATCAAGGAACTGATCAAGGTTAATGTGAGTAAAATCTGACCCCGTCTGCTGTGCGGCCTACTAATTCTCACGGGGCAATCAAGTCGCTCCCGCAGAGCTCGAGTCTTACCTTCTGTCTCATCCGTCTGTTGCCGACTGGGCTGTCATCTCCATTTCTCGGGAAACATCGGAGAGGCACCGAAAGATTACGTTGTGAGTAAAAAATGTTAGAGGAGGGGACAATGAATAGACGCTCAAACAAGATACAATGGGTCACGTGGAAAAAAAAACACCAGACGAGGTGCAGGTGGGCGAGGGACCCTGAATTCAGTAAGATCATACCAAAATCTCCCTCGAGCAAGATTTCAAGGCGCATATTGAGAGATTCGGACAAGGAGATCAGGGTAAAACCGAGTACCAGAGCCAAGATCTAATTCTTGTGTCGCGGAAATAGGATGAATCATCAATACTTGTAAAATCCTTCCCCAGTCTTAACTCCGAGTTTTCCATTCTGTATCATCCGAGCCAGTAAATCACGCGGCTCCTTTGGTAACCCGCCTCTATTCTGAGCATAATTCTCCTCGATGTCCTTCACTACATCTAAACCAACTACATCCATTTGTTCGAATGGACCTTTGGGGGTTTTGAGTACGTCTTTATAGATACAATCTATCTCTTCCGGACTTGCTACTCCCTCAGCGGCAACATAAAGTGATTCCCGTTTGATTGCAGCCCAGATGCTGTTTGATTTTAGCCAATATCACACTTCTGAGCTGAGAATTCACTTACCGGTTGTAAATGTAGCCACAAGAACTCTTTTTCACATGGAAAGGGTTGAATCCATCTTCTCTGCATTGTTTCATTAGACGTGGGATGATATCAGGCTTTGTGATGTTAGTTCCCATTACTTCTATCGCTGCTGTTTCCGGAGGCCAGTCTGCGCAGGCGTTAGGGAAAGCCCGACACAAGAGTGTGGATATTGGTAGAAAGCAAGAAGACAAACTCACAGGAATGCAAGCTCACACAGCGATTCGGATGCTTTAGTTCTAAGCCATCAATAATTTGCTGTATCGTGAAACTGCTGGAATTGGACGCTATGATCGTGTCCGTATGTGACAATCCATCAAGCTGCTGGACAACAGAGCACTTGAGCTCCATGGATTCGGGAACATTCTAACATAGGCTTTGTCAAGTTTGGAATAACGTTCTTGGAGAAGTTCGCACCTCAACAGCCAGCCAGGCACCTTCTAAAGCAACATCTAGCTCGTCTAGCCCAAAGATCGAGACAACTCCGTCTTTGTGTCCCGTCTCTCGCCCACCTGATGTCCTAAACTTGTCGATCTCAACCAAGGCAGCTTCGAGGGCGTCAGGTTTCTTGTCAATCAGTTTTACTGGCCGTCCACGGCTCGACCACTGGAAAGAGCCAGTCAGTTCATGTTCATGCACTAGTAGAAGGGCGTTAATCTGCTAACCATATACGCAAGTCGTCTTCCTTGGGTTCCAGCACCAAGAATAGCCACCGCACCTTTCATCTTCAAGTATGACTTGGATCTTGGGCTTGTGAAAGCAATAAATGATTTGGAACTAGTTCTTGAAAAGAAGTCCTACTGTCAGGTTAATAAATTTAGGGCAACCCGAAGCTCGCAGCCTCGCTCCGTGACTTGACTTCCCTGCTATGACGAAAGATGAAAATGAGGCTGGATTCGTAATTGAAGCAACAAAGTATCCAACTCTTATGTAACCAATCAGGACCGAGAAAATGAAACGCATATCCCCCCACGAGACTCCAATCAAAAGACTGCCCGCACTGCCCGCGCCAGCCGCGATGCCCGCCTGTCAACCCCGCGCCGCCGACGTACAGAGGCGAGCCCACTCGTGCAATATTTCCTTCCCGCTCCACCGACATTGGCCTTGGATGACTTCCAGGAACAGCTTCTCAAACCTGTCCAATGGTAACATCCCGTTGACATCGGTGATTGTATGAAAACAGTTGGACCGGAATATGCCTGTCTGTCTGAATGCGGGGCCCCACCAAGTCGATTGTTGAGGTGGAGGTGAACCAACGATTCTAGAGCTGACAGTGGGAGGCTGCGGCCGAGATGAAGTTGGTTATAATACAAGGCGATGCCTCCCTCATTTTAACCCATCCATACGATCTGCTCATCATTAGGGCCATTCAATTTTGCATTCAAAATGACGGCTTCACTTGATAGTCCTAGTCAGCACAATGCTGTATCGACCCAAGACCATGGCAAGACCGCTTCTTCGGAAGACCTCAGTGAGAAGGGTGTTGTTGCAAACGACGAATTTGCTCAGGGAAATGTCGTGAGTATCTTCACAATGCTAGAGTGGCGTTCCTGACGTGTCTCACTAGGTATCCAGCAAGCACCACGACCCCAACTGGGCTGGCGATGGAATCAACACTTCCCGTGTTGATCCCGCAAAGACTCTTCGCAAAATGGACTTGCGCTTGATTCCCATGCTGGCAGCTTTGTATTTACTCTCCTTCCTCGACCGTGGCAACATCGGCAACGCCAAGATTCAAGGTCTCCAGACCGACCTCAAGCTCACCGGGTCCCAATACAACCTGTGTGCGACGATCTTTTTCTTCACCTACTGCGCCTTTGAAATCCCATCCAATCTCCTTCTCAAACGCTTCAGACCGTCAATCTGGCTTCCGAGCATCATGGTTGCGTGGGGGACAGTCATGACACTCATGGGACTTGTCAAGAGCTACCACGGACTTCTGGTTGCTAGGATATTCCTTGGCGTCGCCGAAGCTGGTCTATATCCTGGGGTTGCCTACTACCTAACGATGTGGTATTGCACCGAGGAGCTTGCGCTTCGCCAAGGCCTCTTTTTTAGCGCAGCAAGTGTGGCCGGTGCTTTCTCGGGACTTCTGGCCTACGCAATTGCGAAAATGCATGGCGTTGGTGGCCTTGCTGGCTGGCAATGGATTTTCATTCTGGAAGGTCTTTTAACAGTTGTTGTAGCTGTCTGTGCCTTCTTCATTCTTCACGATTTCCCGGACACTGCTGGGTTTTTAAGCGTGGAAGAGAAGGCTTGGGTTGTCCATCGACTGAAGTATCAGGGAAGTAAGAGGAGCGGAAGAAATGTGGCTGAGACAGAGCACTTCGAATGGAAATATGTTGTCAAGGGTGAGCCTTCATCAGAAAGTCTTATCTGCACATCTGCTAACAGCAATTAGCACTCACCGACTGGCAGCTATATCTCAGTCTCCTCATGTACTGGGGTATTGTCTGTCCACTTTACGGCATTTCGTTGTTCCTACCTACCATTATTAAACAACTCGGCTATACTTCCACTACTGCTCAACTCTTGACCATCCCAATCTACTGCACCGCTGCAGTTCTCGCCATCATCGTGTGCTGGTCGTCCGACAAAGCTGCCAAAAGTGGAGCCTCACGATGGCCGTACATCTTCTTCCCAATGTGTGCCATCCTTGTCGGCTTCCTCATGGCTTTGGCCGGCTCTGCTCACGGCGGTGTTCCCGGCGTCGTCTATGCGGGAGTCTTCATCGCAACCTGCGGCATCTATCCTGCATTTCCAGGTAACATTACTTGGATCAGCAACAACCTTGCAGGGAGTTACAAACGTGCAGCTGGGATGGCATTCCAAATTGGCCTTGGAAATCTCGGTGGCGCTATGGCCAGTAACTTTTACCGAAGTGTTGACGAGCCGAAGTATTTGCTTGGTCACGGATTGGAAATTGGGTTTGTTACATTGGGATTGTGTGCTTGTGTTGCTTTGAGGCTCAATTACGGGCGTATAAATGCGAAACGAGCGCGAAGTGGAGAGGCAGAAGGTCTCACGGATGAGCAGCTTGCTGATCTGGGTGACAAGAGCCCAACGTTCAGATATACTTTGTAGGGTAATATGAGTTCATTGTATTGGAGCAGGGCTGGATTTCAGTCCGATATTGTCCCAGTGTGAAACTGGTAGCAGTGTGGGAAATGAGTAGAGTAGAGTAGAGTAGTGGGCCCTACTCATATTCTACTCAAATTTATTTCTCACTACTCATACTCTACTCAATACTCTACTCAACTACTCTAGAATATTCTAGAGTAGTTAAGTAGTACGTACGTAATGCCACACGTGACGTTACACGTGACAGGCTAGCCTAATTAGGTAAGGCACCGGGCTGGCTCGAGACTAGTACCACTATACTGCCTAATCAAGTAGTGGCAAGGCTTGGTAAGCAAGGTAAAACCCTAATAATACCCCAAGGCTTCCTTGGCTACTGGAAACAAATTCTTCTCTTAAGGTACCCTTACTATATCTAAATTATATAATAGATTTAATAAGAGTACTTTTAAGATAATATCTTACTTAAAGAGCTAGGAATTATTTAAAGACAAATTAGAAGAAATAAAAAGAAAAAAAAGTAATATTTAAGCAGCCTTATATAAGGTCTAGCTTAAATTATATAATACTACTTAATAAATATCTTATTTATTTATTAATAATTAAATAAATATTAATTTATTATATTTATATAACTTGTATGTAACTACTCTTGAGTTACTCTAGAGTAGTACTCTACTCTACTCTACTCAAGACTACTCTAGAGTAGCTTGAGTAGCTTGAGTAGCTTTTGCCCACACTGACTGGTAGTCTTCGTAAGGATAACATTGTAATTGTGTCTGAAAGGTCCACAGTCTGTTACTTCGTATAAGACTTAACAATGTAAAAGCACAAGTCTCTAGATTTTAGAGCTGTGATTGACTGGCCTGAAAGATGTCAAAATAAACGGCATGAGCACTAGAGCAGAAGTTGAAACAATCTCCTTACAGAACTCGTAACGGTGGGCTTCAGAAGAACAAACCTCGCTCACTAAGTCAAATAAGTTCGATAGAGAAAGGGGAACCGAAAGTAAGCGAGGCTTTCAACAGAAAGTACCTTAAAAACCACCATTGAATATACAAAGTTAACAAACTTGTTTCTGGTATATACATAACGCGATAGTATCTTTCTGCGCTCTAGTTGTCCCAGCTATATTAACCTTGCCCAAACACTCTCTCCGGTTCCAAGATTTCAAGCCACCGCAGTTGAGTAGTAAGGGAAGCGAGCCGTTGGCTGCCATACCGTTTGCACTGCCCCAGACAGTGTTATCGCACCGCACCGCACCGCAGCATCATCCCCATTCTCTGTTTTTCCTTCTTCTTCTAGTCAGCCAGCCCTGACTCCAGCACATACCTGCTCAGCAGTCATTGCGTGTCTCGGCTCAAAGCATCCTAACCGTACCATCCTTTGCATTCCAATACACCAAATTACAAGGGCATTGATCATGCCATCAGAATCAGATCAACGCCTTGACTCGAGTAATATTCACTCCAGCTTCGCCGACAGAAACGAGATTCGACTTCTTCATCTCCACCCATGTTCAGATACTCGGTGGATAAATTGTACGATTCAGCATGTCAAACTATTCGAAAAGCCCTCAAATGAGGCGTCATCCTACTAGGCAAGGAAGTGGTCATCAATTTTGGCCATGAGAAATTCAATTGTTTAGACTGTGTTGGTTCTTCAATTCCACCGGCGTCCGTCGAAAGATACTGTGTTTTAGAACAAGCCAAAATGAGGATCTCAAAGCTCTTCTTAAAGATATACGTGCAAGAATCCCAGCACGGCTCTTCCTTCAGAAAGGCCACACACTGAACCTTTACTCTGGCTTTGTGTGGAATACGGCGGGTCAAAGTGAGAAGACTTGCGAGACAAAATCTTCGGCTTGCATAGTTTGTTGTCGGATTGTTGTAAGCACGCTATTAAAGTAGACAACTCTTTGAGGTTACAGGACCTCTGTTTAGGAGTGGCTACGCACCACTTTCGATGGAATAAAAGTTATTGCTACACCACAGAACGGGCGCATTGTTAAAGACTTCAGGCTCTTCCATCTACATCTAAGAATGCCTTTGAAAAAAAGAAATTTGAATGTCGACTCTGGCGCAAGTGGTACAAAAGATGACATGAGAGGGAACAAAGATCCTTTCGAGCCACATTTCGGTCCCAACAGTTGCAAGAGGTAAGATTTCATGGATCAGTTCTCCATTAAACGGCAATAGCTGTGGAATAGGCGAAAGTTTTTCTAAGTATGCAAATAAAATTTTGATCAAGTGGAACTGTATCAAAGTTCTTCAGGAAGGAGGCCAAGAAAAATGTGCTGTTGCCAATGACGAATTGGATCTCGTGCGTTCACTGAAAGGTCAAGGATATTACGTTCCACCTCGCGGAGCTATTCGAGTGCCCGTCGAGGAACCTTGGGAAGTACGTGGTGGACCATATGACGTTTACGAGCCCGATGGCCACCTTCGAGACGGTACTACGTGGTGCAAGTCAACCTCCTCGGATTCGAGCCTGAAACTTTGTCGTCTAGCTTTCGATGATCTCAGGTTTTTATTCTTCTGTCCTATTAATGCGAAGATCGGCGACATAGTGCGTGAATTTCCAAATTCCGATGTCTTATTCGTTTTGAGGATGACTGCCTCTACGGACGCTGTGTCAAATACTTCTTATGTACCCGTCGGGCGCGCTTGGATTTTTTTAGCACCAGGACCGGGACAGCTGCTGCGCTGGCCGGCAAATAAAAATTCGCAAGTCAACAATATTCTAAACCTTGTAGCACTCCAATTTTTACCGGGCACTCAGCAACTCGCAGCGCTGAAAGAGCGACTTACAAAAGATCATTTCCTCAATTAGCTCGTAGTGCGACTTTGCAAGGTCCGGTCTCATTTCAATATACCCACATGGAAGAACTCCCACCCATGCAGGACAAGTTGTACGGTGAAGAGAGACAAGTGCTCTGAGCTGCAGAACTGGATCGGCCACTGAGCCTTACTACAGCGACGTCTCTACGACAACACCTGGATCACAACGCACATGAATTAGCGAGTATATAGACACTCATAAGAGTATTTTTAGCACATGTTCTGCAGTGTTGACTGCTTCGTAAGTGATGCTTCGCGTATATGAGCTTCCACTAATTAAACAATAGTCGATTTAATCTGTTTTCCAGCCCTCAGGTCAACGTTCGCATCGAATCGACAAGTCGCGAATAGAACTACCGGAAGTGTTTTTTGGCATGGAGTCCCTATTCTGGAGGTTACAATCGAAGAATGTTTCAGGGAGGACGAACAGTAGTCCACCACTTTGGGAGAATTGGACGGCGTTGCTTCAGCAAGAAGCTTCTAAATGGTAGCGGAGTGAGCGTGCCGTCGCTGCATCACCCCTCACGCCAAGATGAACTTCTCTACCCGCTCCTTATGTTCTTGACCGAGACCTAACGCCTCGCCGTCCATCAACCCATGTACATAGCATTCCCCAACAAACTCCCACTTTCCTTCCCCTCGTTCCCTCAAAACATAAAGGACCTGGCCCCCAAGTAAAGGACAAATCTTATCTCCTAACCTCGCCGCAGCTGGAGCAAGTCCAATCTTCCCTCCCTCTGTCCACATAAACCTCCTCCCATATGTTGCCTTCCTCATGCCTTCAATAACATCACTCGCGTAGATTGATAACTTCTGGTTATCCAATGTGAATCGCTCGATTCCTATGGCATTCCAATCGAAACTGTGTGGGCGGATAGGCATGATGTCGTTTGAGGCATCGATTGTATCCGCGGTGACGGTTGTGAGGAATGCTTCTTCGATGGTTTCAGGATGTGGAGGATTATATAAAGCTGAAGAGTTGGAAGGCAGCCAAAATGATTTGAGAATATTGAACATTTCTCTCCGGGTGTTGTCCCGTACAAAAGAAGCCGATGAGAGTAATTTAATACTGTCGGCCACCATTCCTTTGATATGCAAAGCCTTATTCTCAACGAAGCCGGAGACAGTAGTTCCTTTACTAGCGTTATAAACAGTTCCGATAATGCGATCAGATTGGATGTCAATTTGATGCTTGTAAAATGGGTAAATATTGAGTTTTACTCGCCAGTCTGGTACCCAAGAAGGAAGCTCGTTTGGAACATATTGTAGAAGCTCAGAGTCGACTGCTGGCCGAGTTACAAAGCCAAGAAAATCTAGTTTATGACCTGGCAGAGACTTTGATAGAAATGACTCAGCAAAGCCAATATAGATATTTTCAAAGGGTGTCGAATAATCTGGCACAATGTCTCCTGGTCCGATGTCCGATGCTAGTCCCATATATCTTGTCTCGCGGGTCTGTGCTTTCATACACTCGCAGCTCGCCACAGAGATTTAACAGTAAACACCGAGTCTTCGACTTCTTCCAGTGTGGGCAAAAACTACTCAAGCTACTCAAGCTACTCTAGAGTAGTCTTGAGTAGAGTAGAGTAGAGTTTGAGTAGCATAATATGGTACTTGAGTAGAGTAGAGTAGAGTACTACTCTAGAGTAACTCAAGAGTAGTCACGTACAAGTTACGTAAATATAAAAATTTGATATTTATTTAATTATTAATAAATAAATAAGGTATATATTAAGCAGTACTATATAATTTAAGCTAGAGCTTATATAAGGCTACTTAAATACCACTTTTCTTCTATAAAAACTAGATTTCCCTCCTCGAAATCTTTCTTTTCCTGCTTTTTTTATTCTTCTTTTACTTCTTCTAATTCGTCTTTAAATAACTCCCAGCTTTTTAAGTAAGATATTATCTTAATAGTACTCTTATTAAGTCTATTATGTAATTTAAATAATAAGAGTGCCTTGAGAGAAGAGTTTGCCCTTAATAGCTAAGGAAGCCTAAGAATATATTAAGGTTCTACCTTGCTTACCAAGCCTTGCTACTACTTGATTGGGCAGTGCAGTGGCGCTAGACTCGGGCCACCCCGGAGCCTTACCTAATTAGGCTAGTATGTCACGTGTAACATCACGTGTAACATCACGTGCATACTACTCAACTACTCTAGAATATTCTAGAGTAGTTGAGTAGAGTATTGAGTAGAGTATGAGTAGTGAGAAATTTATTTGAGTAGAATATGAGTAGGGCCCACTACTCTACTCTACTCTACTCATTTCCCACACTGACTTCTTCCATTTGCTGAACATATCAAGGACAGTGAAGAAGTTGAAGGGGGCGGGATTGAGCCTCGTGGTGGAGTAAAGCGTGAGTTCGTGTGCAACGAAAGAAGTGGTAATAACATGCGCCAACTTGACGAGTCTATCTCCACAGAAAAACGTTCGTTCATTCGTTGCCGTCGCTTCTTGAACAATCCAGGCACGAGTGAACCATGGCCGGTCGAGGAGTTTGAATATAGCTTGCCAAGCTGCCTGGCATTTGGATCCGGGTTCTCTCCAGAAGACCGAATCTTCTGGCGAAATGTGAGATATTAACGTGGACTCTTGCCACGGGCTTTCATCCCCAGTTTTCGCACTGATTAGCTCAACAAGATGAGTTGCAATTTCGATGAGTTTCTCCACTGCCAATATACTATCATCCGCATGTTCCCCTAACCAAATGGCAACCATCGTGGCATCGGAGTAGATTTGTGTCATAAGCAAAACTTGCGCTCCTCGCTCGGATAGATCATGTTGATTGATGCAGATTGCATCGGCCCAGATATAAGCTTCTTGTTCTCTGATATGCGCTCCGATACGAAGATTGCGGCATAAAGTGACGGGATTACAGGGCATTCGTACTGCAAGTCCATTTTCAGGCCACTTTCTACCACACTCACCCACTGAAGCCCCCTATATTTCCAGGCTACTCTCCTGTAAGCACGCTATAAACTATAAACAAGGGGTACCACACCTTTAGAAGGCATGTCCCCTGTGCTTACAGGGGCAGAGTCGCTAAAGGGTCCTATAATAGCTCTCTCACAGCGTCCGAGCGCTATAGTTGCTCCGCCAGCAACACCATAACCCCTGAAGATCTTCAAACCCCTTGCAAATGTCTCACAGCCCTTGTTTTAGGGGTTCAGGCCTGGAGTTACAATGCTTATAGCGGGTGTAGTCCCTTAAACCACACCCTGGAGTCCGCTAAGACCCCTACGCAAGCGTAAATGCCCTGTAATCCCGTCACTTTATGCCGCAATCTTCGTAGAATGCAAGGCTGCCCATAGGTTGTAAGCCACCGGGAGATGCGTATTGTTGACTAGAATGTTCTCATATGCTTCGGCACTACCCCATGCATATGATAGAGCATAGTAGATCGGAGCAGAACCCATGAGGACATGGACAAGTTCGCAGTCGAGAGTATCGCCAGGGAGAAATCGCAGCAGACGAAATTCCCCATCTTTGAGTAGTGTGTATTTGAAGCGGGGTAAGTCTCGCGGTGGGGTCCGAGATTTGAAAGGTTTCATCTGCATAGTGATAACAGCTATATTTGCAGAGACCGAGGAGAGGTTGTGCCATACTCCGTAAACAATACAATGGGGGAAAGGGGGATGATCTGGCTTGCCATGTAGTTGGCGTTTTGTGGCGCACGGCCTGGAATATCTTGGCTAAAAGCTGAAACAGCCTACCATATCCCCCGGTTTAATTGCTAGTGCATATGTTTTAAGTATAGGTGCGGATAGGAATCCAGGGTATTAGGCCAGTGCGGAAGTCCCTTTTAAGCTAGCTAAGAGCCACTTCCAGGGTAAACGGTCTTCGTGAACCTTCTACGCTCACCCCTGGCTTAATACGCAGACCTCTTTTTACTCTGTGCAATACATCCAAAAGCCCTGCGACCAGGCTTATAACCACTCAGAATAGGAATTCTGTTCCTCTAACCCATATTAGGTGCGCTAGCAATTAAACCAGGGGGAGGATAGTGTGGTAGTAGAAGGCCAGATCCATCCCTGTACATACAGAACTTCGCTAGTTGAAGTGGTAATTAAAGGATTCGCGAAAGCGGGAAATTCGAATTTGCTGACGGAGCTCAAATAACACAAAACCCGAAGGGAGGGATTCTAAGATGTTGATAATATTCATCACGTGATCAGACACACCCCTGTCTGCTACCCCGCCCCCGCATTTCTTACCGCAAAAACAGACATCACGTACGGAAAGCGATAAGGATCAAGTGATCAAGCGATTTTCGAATCCGGTTTTCAATATCTAATTTGTGGCACGTGTACACCCCACCAAAAATCGCCTGTAACCAAAATACCGCATTTTGTATACGTAACCATACCTAACTTAAGTCCCTTTATTACTATCTATTATAAGACTCGTATATATAATTAAATCATATTTTTAAGTATAGATAATTTATAATATAATTAACTATAATACTTCTGAATTGTTCTTATAAGGTTATACTAGTCCCGTACTACTACCTATATACCCCTCTGCCCCTTTTCTCTACTCTTACTAATATATAACTAGCTTTATATATATAAGGTATATATAGAAGGACGGAATTATATCGGATTAGAGAATTTATTACAGAGGATATATTTGGAATAGCTAGTTAGTAGGAGGCATATCCGAAACCGGCAAAAATAAATCAAGATATATAAAGTTACTAGTTTATAGGAGGTATATCCGAAACCGGTAGTACCGAATAAGGATATACTTGAAGTAGCCGGCTAGTAGGAGATATATCCGAAACTAGTAGTAATAAATAAAGATATATATAGAGTTACTAGTTAGTAAAAAATATATCCGAAACCGGTAGTAATAAGTAAAGATATACTATAAAATAACTCGGTATAGATCTATATCCAAAATAGAGATAGATAGTCCTACTAATTCTTTAATATAGAGGGGTTTTCCTACTATATTCTTGTTCCCTAGATTACTATCTTTGCTCCCTTTTACTCCTATTCTTAATCCAATCTCTTTAAAACTGCCTTTATCTAAGACTTTATATATTATAATACTATAGCCTATTATAAAAAGTACCAAAAGCAGAAGGGTATTAGTCCTTTTTATAGCTACTATAGTATTATCTTTCCCTCCTCAAGTCCGACCGAATCTATCTTAGAGGAGGAATATCTATAGAAGGCCCATAAGCTAAAGCCAAAGCCTCTTACCTCTTGCCCTTCCAAGAATAATAAGAGGGATAATAATAATAATAGTACTAAAGAGGTAGGTACTAGAAATTAGTATACCTATTAGGCTAAGTTCTAAAAGAATAAGGAGAAGAGGGAGAAGGAGGGAAAAAAGGAGCAAATAAGGAAGGAAAGGGAAAGTCTCTAAAGAACTATTACTAGGAATACTCTTTATAGTATATAGGAAGACGATCTCGCCTCTATTAGGAAGAAGAAGAAGAAATCGAGGCTCTAGGGAAGAACTTTAACTAAGGCTTATAGTTAGCAAAAATTAAAAATAAAGGAAGATAATAAAAGAAAGTATAATAAAGAAGGGCTAACTAGTAGATATGGCTATAACCCTGCTAATAAGCCTTTACTAATAGGTTTATTAATAACTATCTATTACTATATTAGCTACTCTGGGAAGCTATTTAAATAGACTACCTTTTCAAAACTCCTATTTTTTCTTAATCCTTATAAGACATTTATAAGGCTTAGTAACTAGGTACTTAATTACCTCTAAAAGTCTAATATCTGGAAAGATATTAGAAGGGCTAAATACTATAAACTTGATCTTAAGAATTAAAGCCTAACTATAGGCTACCTTACTAATAGGGTTACCTGCTCCAAAGTTCTGGACTTTCCGGTTCTATTTAGAGAAAATCACACTTTTAAATAGTTCCTTAAATATATAAAGAAGATATATTCTAGTATAAATTATTAAGAGCCCAAACTCTGCTTCCTTATTCCCGTTAAAAAAAAATAGCCTCTATAGGATTATTAATTATATAAAGGGCTAATAGTTAATTTAATAATAACCCCTAATACTAATAACTTATTAAAAACCCTTAATACTAATAACTCTAATAGTAATATAATTAGAAATAATTATATATCTAAAGAGAAGCAGTATTAGTATTAAAGTACTAGTAAATAACTTGATATTATCTATTAAGAGAACTATAAGAGATCTAAGTCTCTATATACTCTAGCTACTAAAACTCCAGCCGGTAAGCCTATTCCAGCCAGTAAGCCCACTCCAGCCAGTAAGCCTACTCTAGCCAGTGAGCCCACTCTAGCCAGTAAGCCCACTCTAGTTACTGAGCCCATTCTAGTTACTAAGCCTATTCTAGCCAGTAATCCCGAAGAGCCCTTTAATGAGATATTCGACAAATAATATAAGTAGCTAAGGGAGTCTATAATAAAAGGTTATATTAATAAGTATTAGCATATATTAAAAAAGAGGCTGGCAGATCTTGAGAGAGAAAAGAAATAATTTGAGATACGAAAACAGAGCTTTAAAAAGAAGAGGGATATAATAATTAAAAAAAGTAATACCTATATAAATAGGCTCGATAAGAGAGTATGGCTTTTAAAAGCTATAAAAGAGGAATTTGAAATTAAAAAACAAAGTCTTGCCAAAATCTATATAAAGAATTTTAAGAAGCTAAATATAAAGATACTTTCTTTCCTTTTAGGAGATTCTCAAAACAAGGCAGTTAAAAGAGGGCTTGGCAAGCTAGTTATTTAGTAGGATAAGAGCAAAAGCTTAATATCTACTATATAGGAAGCCTTTTAGGCAGCTATATAAGAGACCCAGGGCAAAAGCTCGGGATTAGTAGTACTAGTAGTTCAGGAAGCTTAGGGTAAAGGCTCTGGATCTCTCGAGATAGCTAGGCCTAATATTAGCAAAAGCTTTCTATAATTTATTAAAAGTAAGGGGAAAATATATAAGTAGTAAGAGACTATCTAGATTTCCTAGTATTATTAAATTAGTTATATCGAGAATCTTATTACTCTAGTAGCTAGTCAAATTAGAAATATAAAAAGTAATATTTACTTATTTCTAATTAACTAATTTCTAGTTAATTTCAAGAACCTAAAAATTATATAATTATATATCTTTCTCTTCCGGCTATATAATACCTTAAAAAACAGATATTATATATCTGCTATAATAAAGGGCTTTATTATTAACCTAATTAGGTAAGGTATAATACTATTTTATTATATTACTAGCTATTTATATAGCTATTCTATAAGTAATTCAAATAAGTTTTAATATCCTCGGATCTCTATATATAGCCTAGTCTATAAACTAAAATAGCTCTATATCTAGTAATACTATAATTTAATTTTTAATATAAAAATAATTGCCTTATTTCGGTATATTTAAATATATTAGGTTTGGTTTTTTTAATAGTATTATTATTAAATTATTATTTCCTAGAAATACTAAGTAATACTTTTCCCTAAGAAATATATATTCTTAATAAATAGTAAAAGTAAATATAGAATTTAATAATATAATTATCCCGTATTAGTATCTTTTTTTTTTTATAAAAGTATAATTCTATTTTATTTTTATTTTAAAACCTTTATTTTTCTTTTATATTTTTTTGACTTTACTATTAATACTAAGAGCTAGTATCTAACTGCCCTTTACTAATACCTCTATTAATACCTCTATTAATACCAAGAGCTAGTATCTAACTACCTATAACCTTTTCTTCTTCCTCTTTCCTCTTTTTTTTTAATTCTTCTACTAATAATACCAAGAGCTAGTACCTAACTACTACTTCCGGATCACTTTTATTCGGAACTCCTATACTATAAGTCTTTAACCTATTTGCTTTTTAGAAAGCTAAATTTTAGATCCCTTCTCTCCTTTCTAATACCTCTTATATTTTTAGGCCCTTTGGGAATACCCTTTCTCAAACTTCTAAAAAGAGGCTAATTTCTATTTAGATCTTCTCTTTTCTTTTCTAATACCTTCTCCCCTCTTTTAATACTTATAAAACCCTTTGGGCTACTACTAAATACTTTTATTCTTTATCTTGGAATATATACTAACTTATTCTTATAGGAAATAGCCTTCCTTTCTCTAATCTCGACTCTTTTAATATATACTTCTTATCTTTAGGCTATTTAGATATCTCTTCGTTTGCTTTTATAGAATATATACTAACTTATTTTCTAGTTTTCCTTATTTTACCTCGCCTTACCTCTTCTTTAATATTACTATATATATATCTAGTTAGTACTAGTTCTTATAACCTATAGTTAGGCTTTCTATTTATTAAATATCCGGATATTTTATTTTACTTTTACTTTATATATTTTGTTTTATATATTTTACTTTTCTTTTATTATAGGTTAGAACTCAAATAGTATTTATTTTAAGTACTTATATTCTCGGGTATATAAGACTTCTATAGATCTTTCGGAATTATAAACTAGCCTACTTTAGTTCGGGAAAGCTTTCT